GGTATCACATGTTCGGCCCCGCACTACTATAGCCTTTGCTTACTTGTTTTAGTTTTGAAATGGTTAAATTTTGCCTTTTTTCTATTACTACAATCACCAAGTGAACTTTTCATAATCGATTTAAAAATCATCGATTTTCGGTAGAAAGTTTTAAAATTTAGTATAAAAATTAAAATGTCGTAAAACTCCAAAGTGGACTTTACGTCTTTTTTTCAATTTTGAAATCATGCTATGATTAAAGTATTTTTAGTTTTATTTTTTTTATTAAAAATGCAAAATCACAAAAGATTGAAAAACAAATGAGAATGTTAAAAAAAAGTTTCCTTTATAATTTTTAAACTTTTTTATTGCGTTATAGAATTTTAAAATAATTTTTGATATCCTTCCCCTTGCAAATCTTGGCCCGTTATTGAATTCAGTTCCTAGAAAAACTTATGGACTATCATCAAATATAATTTATCCTCTGCATATATGTAGTAGTACCCACGATACCCTTTTATTCCTTCAATCTGTGGTATTATTTTAACAAATACAATCTGGAATATTACATTTCTGTTTAAGTTGTATTTGGATAGAAACAAATCGCTTATGTAAATATGTACAATAAAATATAGTGCCAAACCAAGTTTTTCCATTATTTCAAGAAATTTCATTAGAATAAAACATTTTATATTATTTAAATCCAGTTCATCTACACAACTAGTTTACTTGGGCATCTGTAATAAAAATCACGTTTCTAAACCACATTCAAAGCAGAATACATGGAGATAACATTTACATATGTATATAGAGAACAATAATTGGCTCTCTATATCGACTTAATTGACATTGTAAAATTGCATTAAAATATTCAGAAACTCAGGAATACAAAGAAAGTAATAATTCTATTATAAAAAATGAAAATTTTTCATTACTAAATTAATCAATTTTTGAGCCCAAATTACATATAGCCCAGAAAAACAACTCAATACATATCGGGAATCCGTTATTTTAGGTAGGAAATGTGGAAAGAAATAAGATGTTATTTTTTGACCACAAAAATTTGATTAAATAAGTCATTAGATAAATACCACTTTATTGAATTTATGTGATCAGAAAATTACTACACATTTTACGTAACATGGTCTTATTAAAATAAAGAACTGTTATTTGATTTAAATTGAGTATTTTTGCTGGGAGGATATTGCTATTCACCGAGAGTCTGTTTTCGAACACAAATGCCTTTGAGTTCATGGTCCAAACAGCCTTCGAAAGTAATCAAAATAATATCTACTACAAATAAGATCTGCTACTAGTAAGGAAATTAATCAAAACACATAAGCCTTAAAATTTCGAAAAAGCAGTCAACGTTGAGAGCTGCGAAATTATATTTACTAAGCTATTTTGCCTACCACAGAAACGTCACCAAAACCAAGCAACTTTGATGATAAATTTTGAAGATCACAGTTCAAAAATCCAACATTGTCTAGCCAGACAAAGGTCACTCTACTGAAACACTCATACAGTCCGTGTTGTTATGAGACTCAGAAGCATTAGTGCTAACGAATTCAGAGCAGATTGTCTAATATAATGAGAAAACTGTTTTTTTTAAACAAATCTATATGCTAATATGCCATAATGGCAAATAGAAAGATAAACAAACAAATAAATCATAAACATATGATTTTTGGCTTAACAATGCATAACTCAAAAACTAAAAAATTCACATGTGCCTAGCTAAGATTTGAACCGCGTAACTCGACATTCAGGCAACTCGAAGATGCCGTTTCAGTGCCCGGGTGTATGCCCAGGAGGCAATGCAAATTTGGATGTTTGGAGACACCCTTTCTGGTTTCATACTTATCATACCCCTTTCTGGTATCATACCTACAGATATTATAAATAATATTCGTAACCATAGCTATCATCATATCTTATGTAAAGTTGGAAAATGTGGGTCCAAACATTGGTACGTTCTCCAAAAAGGGTATACAAAAGCAAGTAGTCAAATGATGAGAGTATATATTTGTCGGAACACCAATCGACCATACTAATTTGATAGACCTCACTTATGTTGTGGCTATCGATTGAATTTCATGACTTTTGAGATAAGACTGGGTTCGTAGAAATTCGGACTAGAAGTGTACTAAAATTATTTAAAAATTACTAAAGTTCGTATCTCTAGGTATTCTGTGAAAGGAAACAGCTAAATTTTTGATACTCAGTATAGAAATTAAGATTGGGAAGTAGTGTTGATATAAGTATTAAGTGTAAAGACTGTACTAAATATTACTAAATTCGGTACAATTTGATTTGGGTTGAATGGATTGATCGAAAAATTTGAATTCAGGAAGCGTACGAAAGGTACTAAATTTCAATTCTGAAAATTGGCATTAGGATTACTGTTAGTGTGTAGGGTTGAGATTTGGAGGTGGTTTTGAAAATGCGTGCTTAAATGTACTAAATGGTACTAAATTTAGATTTTGGGTAAAGTATTGAATTTAAAAGTCTAAAATTAAACATTTGGATCAACAGCACAATCTTTGGTATTTGGCTGAGGGGGTAGGGCTGGAAATCTGAAATTTGGAGTGAAAGTCATTGATGTTGTGTAGGATAGAAACTAACTAACTAAACTAAGGGGTTTTTCGAAATTCCAACAATACGTGTACCAAAAGTTCCAAAATATACTAAATTTGGTACCATTTAAAAATAAGTGAATGGATGGTGGTAAACTTTTGAAATGTGGTATGAGAAACAATTCTCGAAAATGGGGTTGATGTAAGGAGGTGGTTTTGGAAATTTGTACAAAGTGTAAGAACTGTACTAAATGCTACTAACTTGGTTATAATTCCTTTTTAGGTGAACGGACGAAGCAGATAATTTGAAGTGTTGGTATTGGGGTCTCTGTTGGTGATAGGTTTTTGATTGGTGTCAAGGATAGAGAGATGTAGATTATTTTGGATATGCGTACTAAATGTTACTAAATTTAGTATTGGATGAAGAAATAGAGCTGAAATTTGATATTGAGGTCGCTGTTGGTTTCTAAGGTTTAAATATGGACCCGTTGAAATAGTTTTGGGCAGAGAAATTAGATGTGGGACCATTGAGTAATAGTTTTATTAATATCTTCCTTCGTAAACTTCAAATAAAATACTTTGAAAATTATTTGGTGTAAAAGGTTAACATTTTCCTATTATTCTCTCCGAAAAAGAAAAACTTCAATAATATATAAAACCTTGAAAGTCTGAAAATTTAGTACGATTTATGAAGTTTTGATTAAAAATGTTGTTAAACTGAAAAAAATGTGCAGTTTGAGTACTAAATAGGCTTAACACGAACTGTTGAAACGAATCTAAAATAAAGTAGCGGGCACTTGCTAGTTTAATATAAGGTTAACAGTACATTGGGGGAATTGTTTGAAATTTTAAATTGAAAGTGGAATTTTGAAGGTACTACAAAAAATTGGATACAAACTTAAAAAAAAAAAAGTAAGCAAAGGCTTAAGTCGTGCCGTGCCGACCATGTGATACCCTACAACACTACAATATGTTAGAAGCCCCCTTATGTCCAAATCTCTTTTGGAAGATTTCGCTTTTGAAATTATGTCACGAAACACTGCCCAGATATTACCCTTAGCATTTTGATCAGGGACATTTGCCCAATATTTACGCACTCCGTCGTGCTGTTATTTGTTGTGGTCCATTTTACACCTAAATATAATCCAATGATCATCCAAAATGATAGAATTCTTCCCTGTCCTTAAATCTCTTCTCAGGCGTGTCGATTGTCTTCAATTGTGAGATCAAGAATTTTTTTCTGTTTTTGGTCCATTTCAACCCCTAAATATATTGCGAACATCTTTAAAATCAATAGGCCCAACCCTTCTGAGCCCACCCTACCCTCATGAAAATTTTCGTTAGTATCGGACGATAATTGCAATCTGTATATAATAACCCCAACCTGTATTGTAAGATGAAAAAATATTACAAAATGTAGACTTCAATATTATAAGTCAAATTGAAAAAATCGCATGCGACAGAAAATATGAAAAAAATAAAAAATTCACAAAATACTACAACTACATCATTATTGACATCTTTTTATGCGTTTTTTTTTATTAGATTTTTATAGAGGGCATTCTGAAAATCGGTCCAGCCATTCTTGAGATATAGGCATTCTAGCTAACATCCCTTTCTTTTGTATGTATACATTGTATATATTTCGCTATATATACCCGATATACTTACTATCGGCATCTACGTAACGGTCAAAATTGACCTGCTCGTCTATTTGTGAATTCGCCAGCATTCAAAATATGCGCGGTTTATGGAACATTTTACTTAACACAAATGTTACGGACTATTTCACCCACTAAATATTACCCGATGACCATCCAAATTGGAAGGCTTCTGCAAAGTATTGAGCTCTAGCCCCATGCTTACTTTCGCGTCGATTGCTCTATAATTGCAACCTGTAGAGCAACTGCATATTCAGGAAAATTTTCAGAAAATTTCTTGATCCATTTCAACCTCTAAATATTATGCGATCATCTCCAAAAGCAAAGCTTCTATTCTGGCTCTAACCCCACCTCCATTCTAAATTTCATGAAGATCGGACCATAATTGCGACCTGTGGAGTGATTACAAATTAACATGGACAGACGGGCGGACGGACATACATAGCTAGATCGACTCAGCTCGGCGAGATGGGATGATCCATATATCCTTTCCCATGTGGGAAACCAATATTTCGAGGTGTTATATAATTTTTGGCCCAATTAAACTTATAATACCCCCAACACAGTGTTGTAGGGTATAAAAATTGGTTCATCATGCTACATATGCATTTAAATATGAAAATGAGGTAAAGGACTTAAATGCTGGCCATTAGATCCCGCATTCTACAATATACTTACTGAATTTACCAAATTAAGTCACAGTCAACACCTATTAATATATGCATTCTCAAAATGTGTTTAATATTATAACAAGTACCAATAAAATACAAAAGGACAAGCTATTCACGCAGTATATAATTTCCTGAAATAACGTAACACATCTACAGTCTTCTTAGTTTTCAAATTAAAATTTCTTCGAACAATATTAAACTCACACGCACGTACGTACGTACGAGATAAACAAAACAAGCAGCTTACAAAACATTGTAGAATATTCTTGGAATAAAATTGTAATTACCGCCTACGAGATAGAAAGAAAGTTGCCTTAGCTAAATACATTGTATTGGCAAGCTTGCAAACCTGAAATAGGAGAATCACTCACTTTCCTAGAATTTATTAAACAAACATTCAAAAATACCTAGTCGCTCCGCTGGGGAGACGGGTTGGCGATCACATAAGCCATCGTTGTCGTTGTCGTCGTCTATAATGCGAAACCACGAACAACACGCTGCCGGTGCATGACAATTTAACGAATATAAAAAGCCGGTTGAATTGAGAGCGCTTATCATTCAAAATTGAATATCAAAACAAATAAGATTCAAGGAAAGCCAAAGCTTTTCGTCCAACGCTGTTTCAAAACAAACAAAAAAACTCAAAACCAAGTGAAATTTTCTATGAAATTTTTCACTTTAAAATAATTGCAAATCTGTGGTGTCAATGAATTTCCGAGCCGACACTAAAGCCAAGTTAAATGCTAATTTGAGGTAAGATGCAAAAAAACAACATCCCAATTATTGGAATATAATTAATTATTTTATTTCTTTTTCTTCTAGCCTTTCCAAACATTTGTCATCCAAAAAAGGTTCCCGTACCTCCAACTGCGGTAACATCCTAGAATTCTCTGTGCTAACTCGTCTGCATAGCGTACCTTGATTCCCCTCCACACATTTCCAACCATCTGATATCTTAAATCAAAAAAAAAATTTGTCAAAATGGTCCACAAGAATCGCTCATCTCGCAAATCCTGCCCCGTCATTGATGTCAGCCCCCAACGCAACTCATTATCGGTATCGGCCAACAAATATGAATTGTCCTCAAGCCCTCGTATTGGTTATAAACTAGAGGTACCCAGCCGCCCCATTGGCTCCTCATCGTCATCGTCAGCATCCTCATCTAGTCTTTGGTATTACAATGACATGATCAAGAATAATCGTGAACAATTCAATAGTTTACATTTTTGTTGATATTTGTTCTTAAATATATATTGTTGTAAATTGAATATGCCAAAGTGTTATACTGTTATAAAATATCATCACAATTGTTTAATGAATAAATTAAAAATCATTACATATCAAGCCTGGTCGTTTTTAGAATCTAATTCTTGGGTTATTGAAAAATTAATTTGGTTGGGAGATTGAAAACTCTATTCTTCAAAGTTGTCTAATTAACTTCAGAGATTTGAACTAAAGTCTTAGTTGAGCATGGAACATGTTTGGTACTGGTGATATATTCAAGTGCAAAATAGGAATTTTAATATTATACTATAAAATGTTATGATGATAGGTCCCCGTAATCGGAAACTATAAATGGATCTTCTTATCTCGTCGAGCTGAGTCGATCTAGCTATGTATATCCGTCAGTCCATCAATTTGATTTACAATTTTGAATGAACATTTAGTACTTCAAATGGACAAAAAAATATGTTTTCCTGATTTTGCAGTCGTTGCACAGGTTACAATTGAAAACCAATCGACACGGAATTTTGCATGAGGAGAGAGTTAAGGACAGAGAAGAAGTCTAGAATTTTGGATGACCATTAAATTATTATACCCTCAGCCATATGGCTGCAGAGGGTATATATCATTTGATACGGTCAAAACGTGCCTATTCGAAATAACGATTTTAGACCCTAGGTCTCTTTGGACCAAATCCGTTTCAGAACATTTGGAGTCGATCTAGCGATGTCCGTCCGTCCGTCCGTCTGTCTGGCTGGTGCGCACGATAACTCTCGAAGGGAGTATCCGATTTGGTCCAAACTTGGTACATCGTAATATTTTTTTCAAACTTAGATCGAGTTCGAAGATAGGCAATATCGGTCTACTCCTTCTGGTACCTCCCTCACAAAAGGTCAACATTTTCAAAAAATTTATTTTTTGCACAGAAAGAGAAACGGCAATCCGATTTTGCTTCAACTTTGCAAATCTTAATATTTGCGTCAGTGCTTGGTCAAGTGTGAATATAGACAATATCGGTCCACTCCATCAAGTACCTCCCACACAAATGGTCAAAATTTTGAATAATTACAACTCTTATAAAATGTGTGATTTAATAGTGTGATTTCTTTATATTTGGCTGGAAAACCACAAGTGACTATCGTTAGAGCACGCCAGCATTTAAATGTGAATAAATCTTTTGTGTCTCGTACCATCGCTCGTTACCGTGATAATGGTAGCGTACTGCAACATCGTCAGCTCGGGGTAAAGCCATTGAAACTCCAAAAAGTACAAGAACTTACACCGCAACTGAAAGTAATAGACTCAAAAGAGCTAAAGAGTTGTTTCGCTTGGCCGAAAGTGGTGAACTGGAGAATTTGGTTTTCTGCGATGAGAAAACATTCGTTGTCCAGCAGTTTGTAAACAAACAAAATGATCGTGTTTACTTCCCAAAGAGGTCAGCTGAAAATAGGTCGGTCGGAAATTCGGTTGGCCACCAGAACTCAAGCGCCGGCCATGGTGATGGTGTGGGCCACCATAACAGCCGATGGTCGCTCCGCTTTCCGCTCGTATTAATCGACCGTAGCATCAGAATAAATGCCAAATATTCGCACGAAGTTATTCTAAAGCTTTGGGCACGCAAACATCCAATAATGGTTACAAAATAGGGTTCCTCGCTTCATTTCCAGCGCACAATGGCCACCAAAATCTCCGAATACCAATCCGTTGGACTTTTGTGTCTATAGTATCTTGGAAAGCAAGGTTGGCATTAAAAAAGCATTTCGCTGGGAATGGGCCGAAATACCGCAGAGCAACATTCGGGCAGCGTGTGACGGTTTCATTGGCCATAATTCGCGCCAAAGGTGACCAATTCGAGATCGACATATAACATAGTGCGTCTATGACCAATTTCAGGAGGTATCACTAACTATGTGCTGAGAAAAGCCTTCATTTCCTAATAGTATTTAATAAAACTTTCCTCTCAATTTGTTCTAGAAGATATTAATAAATTATATATTATAATTTTTTACCATAACCTGCATTTTTCATTATTTCAAGTTTTTCATATTCCAATTTTTGTTATTAAATACAGAAGTAGTTTAATCCTACGTTAAATACATCTTACTTCAATAGAGTAAAATGGGATCAAACTATTTGAATAAAATTCAACTTTCCTCAAAAAATCTAAGTCATAGAGATGTAATATTCCGTTATTGATCAAAACAGCTACTTGTTGTCAACAGCCGCCTAGATCACAAACACCATTTGGGGGTGTTATTTTTCTTCAAAGAAAAAAAAAAACCACACTTACGCCAGCATGTGATGCTGATGAATAAAAATTTCATCGTCCCAGACGTAAACAATGAAATAAATTCAAATCGAAGCATCCAATTATGCAAATCACGGCAGATGCTCGACTTAAACAAGTTTATGTTTTTGATATTATTTCTAAATTTTTAAAAACAAACTCAAAATTATCCAAAGACCAAATTAAAAACACGCTACGAATGCATGATAAGCGTAGCTTGCCAGCTATAAAAAGACGGCGAAAGCAAAGGAGGTCATCATTTGAGTTTGGATATCACAACCAAAAGCATCAACCAATCAACCAACCAAGTTTAAGAAAACGATCTTCGTTACTTTTTCAAAATCTTCAACCAGTTATCTAACAATTCAAAAATTTCTGTGACAATATTCACTTGAAATTTATTGGAAAACAACTTATGTGTCAATGAATAACCGCGCCGACACCAAAGCCAAATTAAACGCTAATTTAAGGTGAGTTGGAGAATTTTCCATGCAACATTATCACAATGGATACTAATTTTACTCTCTTCTCTTCAGCCTTTCCAAACATTTGTCATCGAAAAAAGGTTCCCGTACCTCCAATTGCGGAAATATCCTAGAATTCTCCGTGCTCACCCTCATCCAAAGCGTTCCCTGATTTCTTCACTCCACCCTCAGCCAAGCAATCTAAATTTGTCAACATGGTCCATAAAAATCGCTCATCTCGCAAAACCTGCCCCATCATGGATGTCAGCCCATTACGCAACACCCTGCCAGTACCGGCTAACAAATATGAACTATCATCCAGCCCACGCATTGGTTACACTCTAGAAGTACCCACTCGTCGCATGGTAGCTTCGTCTAACACATCGAGTGCTTGGTATTACAATGATATGGTGAAAAACAATCGCGAACAGTTCAATAGCCTACACTTCTGTTAAAAAAATCCAATTTTTGCTAACACGTCAACAACAACAACATCTACAATTCAAAATGTCATTCAAATAAAAGTTCATTAGAAAGTTTATAGCAAACAAAAATCTAGACAAATTGTTATTAATTCGACAGACGGATATCGGCATGTCTCTGTAGCCATGGTCGAGCGAATACATGTATTTCCGGTTAAGGAAATAATTTTCCAAATCTGTTTAGGTCATAGAACTATGGAAGTCATGTTCAAAAATATATTATAAAATTTGTTCTAGAACAGATATGTTTTTCCTCATCTATAAAATGTGTAGACAACTTATATTCGAAATTGTGTCAAGTTCTAACAAGGTGTTTCATTGGAGGAGTGATTAACATAACGGAACGGAATATACATCTTAATTTTATGTTTATAAAGTACAAAGTACAATGACACTTCACTATAATAAGGAACAGTGTTAAAATTAGGTGACATATTCGGGGGATTCACTTAATTCGATGCGACATAATACGACATAATAGTAGGTAAGATATTTGGAGGTTCCTCTTACTGTCTCATATTTGACTTTTTCTCGATATGTTCTTGCATTTAGTTCAAGATATGGAAAGCGTCTTCAGGTTTAGAAAAGTGTTGTTTTTTATTTTTTCTCTAGCCACGACGAAATCGCAAAAGCATTCTTAAAGCAGTGGGATGAGCTGGGGTCGACCACCACACCAAAGTGCTTCACCTGTCACTAGCCATCCACATCCTTCTCGAAGCCTAGAAATTAGCTAATTTTTCCCGCCAATGAAACCAAGCTAGAATACCAACATAAATGAATCAGAGAAGCTGATATCACTTATGTCATCAGTATCTCATAAGCTCCGTCAGCTACATAGTATCACATCAGCATTGTATACCGTACCCACTCACATTTGTCAAGCATACAAGGAAAGTGGACCCTGGAATAGAACAGTGTTGGTAACCTCAAATCAGAGACATCTGATGCTCTCAAAAATGCACATATCGGAAGTTCTCGGAGCATGTTCGGGAAAATGGATTATAACGTATATGGATTTCCGTAAAGAAGTCCCAGTTAAAGTGTACTTTATCTGTGGAACAATAATCCTTTGCCTTCCTGGATTTGTTTGGCAAAGGGCATGGATACCGTGGCATAAACGGAACAGGAGACAAATACTTCTCACTACCTGTGGAAGGCAAGAAAGGATCTACATAATCTGGAAAGGGTTATTTAATGATGTAAAAGAGAGTCCATGCCACCAAGCTTATCGAACAGAGTTTAATTCATGATGATAACGTCAACGATGTCATACATCGATACAGCATCAATATTGACCACAGAGACTAAATATCCTTAAAATACAGCTGAATAACACATGTTCGTATTGGGAGGTACCTGACGAAAATGCACTGGTGGTGAACGCCCTCACACCGCACTGCATCTACTCAATTCCCCTATCAAACCCACTCAACTTACTCCTGGCAATGTCGACATCTATCGAATCCGCTGAAGTTGTAAGCTTGAAGAAACATACAGAAAAAGATAAAAACTGCTAAACTGCAACATCTACTAACAACCGAATAAAAGCTAATGATTTTCCAAAGCCAATTTAATGAATCCCTGAATTTCGAATCCTTGAATACCGCACTACAAATATCGGACTTCATATGGAGCCTCTCGTTATATATTCGTAGACAAATACAGGGTGAGATGAAAAAAACTGCAACAAAGTCAAAACGCCATAACTTTTACATTTTTGTTAAATATTATTGAATGAAAGCAAAAAATGTCGGAAATAGCATCAATTCTCAGAATAAGTTTAGATTTGTTCGAATTGGTCAACTTTGGCACGATTATGGCCTTCAAACGGACAATGAAACCGTCACACGCTGCCCGAATGATGCTCTGTGGTATTTTGGCCCATTCCCGGCGACGCGCTTTTTTGAGGTGACCGACACTTTAATATTTTTTAGTGCCAACCTTGCTTTCCAAAATACACCAGACACAATAGTCCAACGGATTGGTATCCGGAGATTTTGGTGGCCATTATGCGCTGGAAATGAAGCGAGGAACCTCATTTTGTAACCGTTCTTGGGTAGCGCTGTGCTGAGTGCTGAGTCTTGTTGGAATGTCCAAGGTCTGTTTTAATACACTCTCCAGAATATTTATGCGATCATATTCGGCATTTATTCTGATGCCACGGTCGATTAATACGAGCGGCTGTTTTAGCGGCCTACACCATCTCCATGGTCAGCGCTTGAGTTCTGGTGGCCAACCGAAGGTGCACATTTTCAGCTGACCTCTTTGGCAAGTAAACACGATCATTTTGTTTGTTTACAAACTACTGGACAACGAATGTTTTCTCATCGGAGAAAACCAAATTCGGCAGTTCACCACTTTCGGCTAAGCGAAGCAACTCTTTAGCTCTTTTGAGTCTATTTTCTTTCTGATGCGGTGTAAGTTCTTGTACTTTTTTGAATTTCAATGGCTTTACCCCGAGCTCTTTTTTCAAAATTTGCGAATGAAATATTGCGATATATTCAGCTCACAAGCCATTTTTCGGCCAATGCGACGCGGGTTTCGATTAAGTCGCTTCTTTAATTTTCGAACCATTTCTGCTCATGCTTCTGTTTTCTTCCGTCCACTTCCTTGACGTCGGCCTACGCTACCAGTATCACGGTAACGAGAGAAGATACGAGACACAAAAGATTTATTCACAGTCATTAAATGCTGGAGTGCTCTAACCATAGCCCCTTGTGGTTTTCCAGCTAAATATTAAGAAATCACACCATCACGCTTGAATTCCATTCCGAATATCTTTTTTTTTTTTCTTCAAAATTCTCACCAAAATACTTTTGTACGCTTGTAAACAATATAATGAGCTGTCACTGGAATAATTTTAACAGCTGTCGGACAAGTGGCTTAAAAAAGACAGCAGTCTGAATTTGGTTGCACTTTTTTATCTCACCCTGTATGTTCGTAGAAAAATGCTTTAACCCTGATAAAACTAGAGACCCTTTCTTCTCTTCCTGCTTTCACAGATGTCGTTAAGAAATTTTTAAAATATGCATATTTAAAAATGTATGTTCTAGTACCTACAAGAATCTATTAGTTTTGCAATTTACGTATAAAAATTTTTACATTCATGCAGTTCTGGTATAGAGCGAAAATGGGCTAAATATATTTTACAACAGGAAACTGAAAAATAATTTATTCTTTTTTGTGTTTTTAAAACTTTTGATTCAATTTTTTATATATACGTCTGGACAATCTCCGATTTGGCTATAACTTTCACAAACTGAAAATTTGTTAAACTTTTTGAGAAAAATTCAAATTTAACTACTCTTTCAAAATTGTATCCGCTCCCAATTATAAATCAAATCGAATTTCTATCTATCCAAGTTCATTTGTACTGGCCCATATGCATCAATAATTTTTCAATCATTTCATATACATATGATTTCTAATTCAGAGCTTTTTTGATAATAAATGGAAAAGTACCACAAAAAATAACATCGGTTTGTCATCGATAATATCGGTAGCAGACTGCAGCAACAGCCAGACAATAATAACACATCCCATATTGGTTTATTCATATCTTGTGTCGAACGAGAAATACCGCCTAATTTACATACAAATCAACAGCATCAGCAGACAGCAGCCAGAGCATTTGACAGCCGCCATAAAGAGAATAGGGTTTAAAAAACTGTATTCCATAACATAAGGTGAGGGAGGAGGGGTGTATTCCTCCTCCCCCTCTCCCTCACATACACACAATGCAAGAACAAGGGTATTGAAATATTTATGGATTTATTAAATGAACACAAATCAAGGCAGCGTAAATGAAGAAATATGTTCAATGTCATAAACTTGCAAATTTACACACACTAACACACACGCACACACACACAGTTACAACTAAAACCTTGAAAGTGTTGGCTTCCTTGGATGATTTGTATACCATCTTTGCAATTCTCGACGCCCATGTTACGCTTAAATCTGCAAATCTTTCTTATTCCTTTCTCCTCTCCTAATGGAATAACAATATATCAAAAATGAAAATATTCGCATTTTCGACTTGACATTAGCTTTCATTTGCTAAAGTCACGTGTCACTCGCATTGGCTGACAAAGAAAATCCATGTAAGACATACAATGTATAAAACTCTATTAGTGAGCACACATATTTATATTTGGTTAGCAGAAGATGCAGGGTCGGAGGGGGTGGTGTTTAAAAAGTTGCCAGCGCAACAAAAACAATTTTTGCACGCGATTTTCATTCTTGCGGAGAAAGTTGATATTCACACGCATCAACGCTGCTACCCACATTCCGTAGTGGGCACATTACTAGGACTTGTATCTTTGGTTTTATATAAACTGTTGGTGAAAAGTTTGCATGCGTGCTCTCTTGTAATGCTAGTAAATAGAAAAATATAACTAATAGCCATATTTGACGAAATATTTATTCCAAAATTATAATATATAAAACTGAAAACAGAAAATTAAATGAGGAGTTCCCAAGATATGTGGAAAATTTTAGTTTTAGAGAATCTTCTAGAATTTTAAAAAAAATATAAAATAACACTTAAAAATGATACTCCAATCATGTAGATGCTTTAAATTGCAATAAGCTGTTCTTTCGGCGGCTACATCATAACTTAGTCCAATATCGACAACTTTCAATCGTTCTAAAATACAATGATGTCTTCAACTTTTTAAGAGACCTACAATTCACACTGAAGAATTCGATCGAAGTCAGGTCTTATGGACAGACAAAAATTTATTTTTGATACCATAATAACACGTATACCTAATTATCGTCAAAGACAGCGAAATATTACGGTCCACTTGATCAAAAAATAA